GTGGGTGGGCTTACGATATACGCCAGTTTCCAACTGTCCTCCATCCGAAACCGTGAGCGATTTTTAGAATTTAGTTTGCATTTAATATCACTCGAGGTGGTGAGCATTTTTTGTCTCTATTTTTTTTTTTTACCATTTTAACTGTAGTTGGGTCATGGATGCAACAGGGCCAGGAGAGAAAACCAGACATTCCTCTACCAGCAACACTTTCCTGCACATCCTGGGGGACTCGGTAGCAGTCACAAACACCAGAGCTACAGCCCCTCTGACACCTTGCACCTATCAACTGCTTCAAGAGTCCCCCGGGACAGCTGAGTCCTGAAGGCCTTCTTCTTCTTCCTGAGTGCCTCCAGTGGTGATGGAGACAAACGTTCCGCTTTACTTAAATATTGTGTCTGCAAGGAAACATGACCTCTTTTTAAATGTAAGTAAAATAAGGAACAATGCTCAACWTTAATCAACATTCTCATGATGACAATGGTGGTCAGGGATCAGCCGACTCGGGTCTTGATGTGTTGCACCACCTACACTGCATATAAGGTGAGCTGAAACCAGAGGACTCATGTCAGATTCTGTATACTCTGACATCTCTCTGCTAAGAAGTGAAAGATTTTGACTTTTTTTAATTGTTGTAAACTTAATTTTTAAAATCAAAATCATTCTTCTACCAGTGACAGACATGCTGATCTTCACTCCACTCTGTTTCCACCTGTGCTGGACGCTGACTATGGACCTGATGCTGGTGAGTTTCTCATGATATCCTTAAACTGTCACCAGATAAGAATATTTATTCTATTCTATTAGATCAACAATTTATCTGAAAATTGTAGTCTCTGCCCTGTTACACTTTTGCCATTAAAATTTTAATTATAAATGAGCACTAATAATCTCACACTGCTTCCAGTCTTTTATAGTCCATGTTTTCATTATTTATTGTGATTTTAGTTTACTGGCAGTGCCACGATCATCAAGCTGGACATGGTTGAAGAGTCTGTTGACGACATGTATGATGGCTGCAGAGACGCAATGAGGAACATCCTCAAAAATAATTTCTCCGGGCTGAAGAAAGGACTCTGGAAAATAAGTAACAGCTGTGCAAACCAGAAACTAAAAGAAAGACGTCCAGAAGACAAGGCTCTGACCATAGATGACCTGAAAGCTATCTGTATGTACACAGGTCCAGAATATTATGCTCAGCTCAATAAAGACACCAGGACACAAAAGAATACATACGGTGGGTCATTCAAGTTCCACAAATTACATTTCTATCTGACCACAGCCTTACAAATCCTGAATCCTAATAAAAAATGTCACACCACCTATAGACGGACTAAGGATAGATATGAAGGTCAAGTTGGCCAAAGAATCAGATTTGGCTACTTTGCTTCCAGCTCCACAAGGTTTGACCTGTTTGACTTTGGTAATGAGACTTGCTTTAAAATTCAAACTTGTTTAGGTGCAGATTTGAAAAAGAGATCAGTGTATCCAGATGAGTGTGAAATTCTAATCCCACCATATGAGATGTTCACCATCATGGAAAAAATCCCAAAACATAAAGCACCTGTAGGTCTGAAAGACTGTAATGTTGTTTATGTTTTGAAGCATTCAGGGRCTCGGAGCAATCTGAACTGTAAACTGGTTGGAAAGTTCAAAGGTTCATCAGCAGCAAGTTGGATTAAACCAGTGGTTCCCAAACCTTTTCTGACGGGCCCCCCTTTGGTTTATAAAAATAATTTAATGCCCCACCACCACCACAACCACCACACACGCACACACAAACACACACACAAACATACACACAAACACAAACACACCCACACACACATACACCTCTCCAAATCTCTTGCAAAAAACGGTTAGAGTATTGTGCTGTCATGGTAAACAGCAGGTGTAATACGAAGCTTCATACTTCTCATTTATCAKTTCCTCACTTGCTCCTATCATGAACTTTTATGTACAACTTAACATCAAGCTCAAATGTTTTGTTATACTTTGTTTCCATATAAAAGACTGTACGCCACAGTGAACTTCTTTCTTGTACTTTGYATCAAAATTGTTTCAGCCGCACCATTAATCATGCAAGCTGAAGGCTTTAAGGAGTGCATTTTATTGTGAAAAAAAAAATCAACAACCCTAAAATAAAGTATGTGGAACACAAGACACAAGTTATCTTTGGTCTTTCTTTGTTTCTGCAGAGATAAGAGCAGTCAGTGATAAAACACACTCAGGGTTCTGACAGTAGCTGCGTTTYCATTCACGATGAAAATGCACAAATTAGAATTTCGAAAATAAATTTGCTCAATGGAAACCGTCAGTTTTGTAAAAATTTCCCTTTTTCGACAAAATGTTTTTGCTCTAGGAGGAGGTGGTTTTTCGGCCGTATCGAAATTGGTGTATTTTGCAAAACTGCCATGGAAACACTTTTTTCGCATCACGGGAGTCACGTGATCAACAATTGGCTGTTTCTATTGGTGAAAAAGATGACGATGAAGAAGACAACAGGAAGTAGAGTTAGTAGTAAAAWCACCGAAGTTGCAAAAGAAAATAGTAAACTCACCGACAACAATTTCCCAAAAAACACAGCATACGTAGCCGCTCTTGAGTATAAGGGGCTTGTCACTGGAAAGCCTCGGTAAGATGCCGACATCTCCTCTGACGATGAGCGCTAGTGTCATGGTAGCAATTATGCTTGTGTTTACATCCATTGCCACCATGTTTGTAATGACTTATCACGAGAACAAACGTATTCACGCGTGACTTTAACAGCATTTCTTACTTAAAGGCACAGTGTGTAGGAT